TAGTGTGACAAAAATGTTTTTTAGTTTAATACTTTATATGTCCAATGGCCCATGCACAAGTCAATAGAAGAGAAGAAATTTCGAAATGTAGAAATGAATAAAGCTACTGTAGAAATTGCACCAACTTACAAGTTTTATTGGGGGGTGTCACATTCTTGACCACGTAGTCCCTTGTGATGAACGTGTGTTAAAACTCAAAAATAATAATAATAATTAAAAATAAAATTGGTGAACCCAAATTCCCTTCCACGAAGGAGAAAATGTTATTATCAAAGAAATTAATTGTCAAAGTGCCGTGACACATGCAATTTCCTAATTAATATGATAGAATTATAATTATTTTTTTCCCAACCAAGGTCCACCCTAATGGAAAATAGACTCCACAATATATACCAAGTTTGTGGACAAATTAATAAAAGTCCCATGGATTTTTTCTAATTTATATTTTTAAATGTTTGAAATTATTTTAGATATTTTATCAAAAATATCCATATCATTGTTTTGATTATTTTAGTGATCAAATTGTTGTTATTATAAATCTTAATTTGAAACTAACTAATACATATAATTAACTTATTGAGTTGATATCAACTCGATTGGGTGAATTTCATTTTACTGGCTTGCGAGTATGGACCGTTAGATCAATACACACCTGTAAGGAAAGCTATTTTTTGTTCCTCCTCAAATTACACCATACCGACTATATAGTTAAGATATTTATTAACATCGAATTCCCTTTTCAATCAATTCCTTCCACATTCCGACCTATACCTATATGCTCGATCGAGCCGGTTTTACAAGGTGATTGAATCAAAAGCAGCCTTCTTTAACCAACAGGGGTTGGCTCAAATGGTAAGCAGTTTGATGTCGCTTAAGCAAGGTCTCGGGTTCGAGTCTTTATGGATGCAGAAAACCCTTGTTGGGAGACTCACCCACTATTGTCAGGTGTGCGACCCGAGTCGACCAACGGATTAGTCGGGGCATAGCTCCGGATACCGTATGGCTACCAAAAAAAAAAAAAAATCAGCCTTCTTTTTTTCCTCAATGATCAGTTCAGTTAGTATATATACTGTCTGATCTGCAATCATAAGTTGACTTATCAAAAAAGATCTTCAGTACCAAACGTGACATGAATTTTATCGTTTAATAATAATAATAGTAGCAGCAAGAGCAGGTTGATTGCACAATACAAGGAAAATCATGTACAATTTGAGCCACACACGCATGCATAAATTTGGTTGAATATTTTCTAACTCTCATATATACGTTCCCCTTATTTTCTTAGAGTAGTTGGGAAGTCGGTTGAGAAAATATATGCATCGATCTTCATAAGAAGAAGAAGAAGAAGTCTTTAAGAAGAAAAAGATTAGTAGACTGCATAATTTGACTGTTATCATGTTATGTCTCGATGCATTGAGAGCACAGTTAACCGCAGCTTAACCTGATCATCGAACACACCATTAGTAGTATACGAGCGAAACATGTCTCTAATAACTTTTCAGACGACAAGAATCTCGAATATTCAACAAAGATGCTTTACTGATGTCGATCGAAAATAGTTTAACAAGTTTGAGGAAATATAGATATATACTAATCGGAGCCGGTTCTGGCCTTTCTTAGGTCCTGCTGGGCACATGTGTAAAAATAATGTACCTCCTTTTCTTGTTCAATATATTATGAACAATAATTACGTTGTTTGTTTATGATAAAGCTATGTATTGAGTAATTTTGGATGAATTAATTACGTAATTATAATAATTGAAAGATATTTATTTTGGCATTAGTTCGAAGGTTCGAACAAGCACCTGGAACTACAGAAACAGGGAAGATCTTTGCTTAATTGTTTCCTTAATTAAGATTATTTTATATTCCATATATAAGATATTATGGATCTTATTATGGTACTTTATTTTGTAGGCCCCAAACGTGCGCTTAAGAAATGACCAATGCGTTCGAAAGAGAAAATCGGATGAGATAAGGAAGGGAGAGGCGTGTATGCTAAAGAGATCAAGGAGAGAGAGAAGAAGATTCACTTACCAAAATCCTTATGCTATAATCAAGGAAGGAAATCAAGGTTGGAGTCCTATGCCTTGTAGAAGACTCCAACCCTAAGGAGATTACTTTAAATACCCGTATGCAAGCTCTCATTGCGGCTGCTGAGTTTTGAAGATCTTTAGAGCAATATTTGAGCTTCGTATTTTCTGTTTAAGTTGAGTTGTACACAGTTCAGTCTGAGAGTTCGAACTAACTCAAGGACTGAAGCTGTCTTATTTAGTTCTTTGTGTTTCATCCAAAAACTTCTTTACAGCTTATACACTTAGGGAGTAAGTGTAGTTTATAAAAGTCCACGGGACGTGGCCGGAGAATTAGTTGATAGGATCTGTGTAGTGTTGGCTAGGCTTGAAGGGAGTTCGAGTCGTTGTAAGTCCAAGCTATGTATATGTTTGATCTATCAATGAAAGAGCTCTGAGGGGAAGTGGGGCGCTTCCCTGAAGAGTTTTAAAATCTTCGGTTTATTGCTTCCGCATTTTTCAGTTCACATTTAAGTTCGTACCACCGATAAGCGCACTCAGTGTTAAGTATACGTTTAAATTGGCACCAGAGCAGTGTTCCTGTTCTAATTACGGGATAAAGATCCTTGGGACTGTGTATCGGGCACCATGAGTCATGATGGGATGTCTGTTACGCGCCCTCCGTTTCTTGATGGTTCTAACTACTCGTACTGGAAATCCATGATGGTGATCTTCCTTCGATCCCTTGGGAAAGGAACATGGCAGACGGTTGAAAATGGTTGGACTTTACCACTTCAAGAAAAAGTTCCTGCTGAAACTAAGGGTGGTGAGTCATCGGATGGGAAGTCATCAACCACCAAAGTATTGGTTGAGAAACCAAGGAGCATCTGGACCGACGATGAAAGGCAAGCAGAAGAGGCTAACTTTCGAGTCTTATATGCCATTATGTCTGCAGTAGATCCCACCCGGCACAAGATAATAATCCAGTGCACGACTGCTCAAGAAGCTTGGAGGATCTTAGAGAAACAATTCGAAGGCACGAATGCAGTTAAAACATCAAAGCTCCAAAGAGTCTCAACTGAACTTGATGAGATCCGTATGAGGGAGGATGAAACCATTGACATGTATTATGCTCGGTTCTGCGATCTGGTTAACCAAAGTGCAATGCTTGGTGAGCCGGTTCCAGAAGCTAGACAAGTGCAGAAACTGATGAGAACTCAACCGGACAGATTTGGGATTAAAATTACTGCACTAGAAAGCTTCCAGAGGATTCAAAAGCTTGGCATCGATGATCTTCTAAGTGAACTTCGCACATTTGAAATCAACCATGGTTTTGACTCTATGAGGATAAGCAAAGGGAAAGGTCTTGCGCTAAAGGCCAAGGTTCGTACTACAGTCGCTGAGAATGATGAATCTGATGAAGAATCTTTTGATCCTGACAAAATCACAAAGGCTCTCAGCGTGCTTACCAAAAATGTTTCGAAGTTGAAGAAATTCCAGAAAAGGAGATTTCAGGGAAACAGGTCCTTTGAAGGTGGCAGAAACCAAATTCAGCAGTTTGGAGAAAGGAAGTCTGGCATGCAGTTTAACAAGCTTCAGAATGGCAACCAAGGAGTAGAAAAAGACCAATGCCGAGAATGCAAAGGATTTGGCCACTTTCAAAAGGAGTGTCCTAATTTGAAGAAGAAGAATAAGACATTCAAGGCTACATGGTCCGACTCCAGTGATGACGAGGAGGACGAACCTGAGATGACTGAGAACTCTAACTACTCTAATAATTCTGCTAAATGTCTTCTTAATGAGTATAACTGCTTTACTTCTTCTGTTCATCTAACTGATGTTGAATCGGATGCAGGTTCTTACGCGAAAAATTTGAGCGAGGTAGACTCTGATGAATTCTCAGACCCTGCTGCCGAAAATCTTGTACTTCACAAGTACGCCATTGAAAAGTGTCTCAAGGCAAGGGATATCATCAACAAGTACCAGGCCCAAAAACAGAAGATGAAGGCGGTGGAGTCACGTTATGCCGAAAGTGAAAAAGAGATTGAGTATCTTCGGAATGAGCTTCAGAAGATGAGGGTAATGACTGTTGATTTGAACGAGAAGCTCATCAGATCAGATCTTCACATTGGAAAACAGGACAAGGACCTAAACAGTTGTTTCGCAAAGCTAGCACTGGTTGAGCACGGCGATAAACTCAACAAGCAGGCCAGTGAAGATCAGAGTTTTACCATTTAATCTCTGTGCAACGAACTGTTTGCTGTTCAAAGTCTTGCTGGAGAAAGAGAAACTGAAATAATGGTTCTTAAGGAGGAACTTGGTCGGGTAATGGAGGAACATGTGGCACTTCAAAGTCACTGTTCTACCCTTGAAGAAAGACTGAAAAAGAGTGAAGAAGTTGTTCGAATGATCAACAAGCCAAGGGCCTCATATGCTGAAGTTCAAAAACTGAGTCAGCAGATTGGTTCATCCAATCCAAGTAAGACTGCCCAGAATCAGAAACTGAAATGAAAGATTGGAGAATCAAGCTCTTCACTGAGTAAGGCCGATCTAACTTTTGTTAAAGAAGGATACTCACTTGACTCCAAGAAAGGTAAGTCACACTCTCCAAAGGTTCAGCACAAGAATACTGGTAAGAACTTTGTACCTGTTTGTCACTACTGTGGGATTCGCGGTCATATTCGTCCCAAATGCTATAGAATGCATAATGATATTTATACGGGACGAATTAATGACTGGAGTCCTCATGGTGTTCCTTTGAAAGCTCCCAAATTGAAAGTTGATTAGTGAACCATGAACAGAAAAAGATCTGGGTTCCTAAGGATCGTAAGAACCTCTGTC